TCCCCCACACCTCCACCCCAGAGATTATAGTTGTTCTAAGTGGGAGAGATAGACTATAGTGGGCTTATTCCGTTTTGGCTGGCACCATAAATCAGCACATCCACAGTATTTCTATCAGTGGTAAACTACTTTTTATGTCTATAAATGTCTGTATTTTGCCTTTATACTGGTAATTTATCTAGGTATAAAATGCTATGTTGGTAATATTTCCCCTTTTCACTTTGAAAATATCATTCCACTGTCTTTTGGCAGAGTTGGTGACTTATACAAAGTCTGTCAGTTATCTAATTTTAATTTCTTAGTGATAATACCTTTTTTCTCTTGTGGCTTTTAAGATTCCCTTTATCATTAATGTTTTGTATAATAGTTTCACTCCAACATCTCAAAAAAAAAAAAAAAAGTATCAATAACCATCCATAATGCCCCATAGAGGGCAGTATTTTTCCTGTTGAGCCCAATAGCACTCCAGTGACAATTGCTGTCTCTCTTGACTGAAGTTGCTGTTTGGTCAAAGACTGGATAAGTTGTGAGATCTGAGTATAGAATTCCAGTTTCTCACAATCTCAAAGGTTATACTAATCCTTTTATAAACAAAATGACATAGATTCCAAAATTTTAAAATAGAGGTCATATCTACAATCTACACAAGCTTCATTTTTGTGTTTATAACCTATTTCTTTCATTGCTTCATGGAAATTAGCCTGCACTAAGGTTTTGGCGAACTTCTTTCAGTCCTTAATTGCTTTGTATTTCTTTATTACCTTAAATATATTTCATTGTAACTTAAAGTCACTTAAGGTCATTCATTAGACCCTTTGCACTCCTTCCTACTTTCCTTCCAGTAATTGTCAACTTATTTATTTAACATTAATTGGGTTGATATGCTAGGTTCTATACTAGACCCAGACCTTTTTCTCAATGTTCCCTCAACCTCTTTAATGCACTAATAATCCAGAAAAAAAGTTTCATGACAGAACAGAGTTTTGAGGAACATACAAAGTTGTGCCAGAAAATTCTTTGACTTACGTAACTTAATCTCCTCCTTAGTGGGTATATTTTTGGTCAGAAGAACTTAACCATTGTTTCTTAAGCTTCTATAAAACCTGCCCTGCTACTTTCTATGAAATATATTACAGTAATATTTATTGACCCATGTGCAGGGTGGTTGTGAGATATTTTACAATATTTATTGTCAAGTCTCAGTCGATAGAGAAAAATTGTTACTGAAAATGGTACTTTTGGGAAATGTTATTTGTCAGGTTGAATCATTTGTTCTATAACATTGTGTGTTAAACCTGAAAGTGATAAATAAGTATTAAAAATGAATCTGAGTATTTTTCTTTTATTAGTATTAATAACATCATTTCAAGTGGATGTTGGAAGACATTTAGTTTTTGAGCAAAAATAATGCAAATTTTAATGTACTTATATAATTTAATGATAAAATAAATATTTCTTACTAAATATTAAAAAGAAGTGGTTGGTTTAAATTAGGCACATCTTTGTTCTTCATAAATGGTTGTCCAGAGCTTGAACTTTGAATTTCTATTTCATAAATTTATTAAAAATACAGACTCAAACTATGTATTTAACTGTGTGTGGGGTTTTTTTTTGTTTTGTTTTTTTTTTAAACATTTTAAAAGCATAAGTGTGCCTTGTTTGGGGAAATAAAGTTAGAAAGAAGCAAATAATTTGTATTCTAATTTTGCCTATATCAAATTTCTATTAATTGAATGTTGTTCCAAAATTTACTAGAGAAACTTATACATGCAAAATTCACTTTAAACCATGAAGTACTACATTACCAAGAAATATTACAGTAATAATTTAAAGGAATCCTAGGGCTAAAAATTATTTTGAAGTGATTTCATAGACTTAGTTAAATGAGCAAGGCCATAGGAGAAAAAATATTAAGGAATAAATGTTCCCCTTCAAAGAGAGGAAGAATGAAAAAATACAAAGGACAAGAGATCCCTTATTTTCAGGGATCCCTTATATTCACAATTTGGTGTGCAGTCCTCATGGGGATAGAGCCAGAAAATCCATTATTTATAAAAATAATAATAATAATAATAGGATAAAATCTAAGAAATTAAAGAAACCACTAGAATATTAAAATTGAATTGGAAATATTCACATAAACCCATTATTAAATAGTACATTAGTTATCTACTGCTATTTAACAATATTAACACAGACTTAGAGGCTTAACACAAGACACATTTATTCTCTCTCTTTTTCTGCGGGCCAGTTGTCTGGGCATGGCATGGCTTAGCTAGATGCTCTGCTTCAGAGACTAACAAAGCTTCAGTTAAGGTGCCCGCCTAGTTGCGTCTCCAGTTGCGTCTGCTTCCACGCTCACGTGGCTGTTGGCAGCTTTTCATTCCTTGCGGGCTGCTGGACTGAGGTGAGGGTCTCCGTTTCTTGCTGGCTGTCAGCTGGTGGCTGCCCTCAGTACAAGGAAAGCCAGGGAGATTTTGTTATGCTAGAAATCAGTAGTTCTCAAAGATTAGTGGGGTCACATTGCCCTGGCCGGAGTCAGGGCATTTAGAGGATTATGAAGCCTCACGGTGGCAATGAACTGAAACAGGTGGAATCTATGAAAAGCCATGGTTTAATAATGATGCTCAAAAGTCTGAAAAGGTTTACTTGTCACCATTCGAGGCGGCTGTTATTACTACCCTGTTTCCCCGAAAATAAGACAGTGTCTTATATTAATTTTTGTTCCCAAAGTTGCGCTAGGTTTTATTTTCAGGGGATGTCTTAATGGTACACATTTATTGTTAAATGAAAATAAAGGGAATTTATTACCTGTATACGGTACAGTAGTATGGTAGTTGTCAGCACAAACCAGACAAACTGTGAATCCTACAGTATCAAGAATTTACTCATTTATTCAATGACAATCATGTCATCATCTTCTGGAACATCATCATAACAATCCAATTCCTGAATTTCCTGGTGAATGTCTTGTGACTCCATTTCTTTCAGAATCAGTGGACCAAATCTCTCATGTTTAGCCTGGGGGGGGCTTATTTTCGGGGGGATGCCTTATATTTCACTCAGAAGGAAACCTGTAAGTAGGTCTTATTTTCGGAGGATGTCTTATTTTTGGGGAAACACGGTAGGTAATTTGGCTATTAATAGTAAAGAGTGGAGAATTTTTTTGCCTTTCCAGTAGAATCTGAATTTCAATAACCAAATATCCCCAATGGATAAGGGGAGCTCTACTTCAAAGATGAACACCAGTTAATAAGTGTAGAGGGATGATAGATTTTAAAACACCGCAGACTTTAATGGAGGCGCCAGGGGAGAACTCATTCCTTGCTTTTTCGAGCCCTGGAGGCTGCTAACATTCCTTGGCTCTGCCCGCATCATTCCAGTATCTGCTCTTATCTTCATATCACCTCTGCCCTCTGACTATCTTGCTTTTTCTTATAAAGACCCTGTGATTATCTGGGGCCCACAAGGATAATCCAAGATAATCTCCTCATCTCAAGATCCTAACCCTGGCTGGGTAGCTCAGTTGGTTAGGCCATTGTGCTGATATGCTAGGTTGTGGGTTCAATCCCTGGTCAGGTCACATAAGAATCAACTAATGAGCACTAACCAGTTTGGTTCAGTGGATAGAGCATCGGACTGTGGATTGAAGGGTCCTGGGTTCGATTCCGTTCAAGGGCATTTACCTTGTTTGCGGACACACCCCCAGTAGAGGGTGTGCAGGAGGCAGCTGATCGATGTTTCTATTCCTCTCCCTTCCTCTCTGTAAAAAATCAATAAAATATATATTTTTAAAAAGAATCAACCAATGAATGCATAAATAAATGGAACAACAAATTGATCTCTCTCTTTTTTTCACTCCTTTCCTCTCTTCTCCTCTCCTTGTCCCTCTCGCTCTCGCTCTCAAATAAATAATAATAATTTTAAAAAGATCCTTGCCGAAACCCGTTTGGCTCAGTGGATAGAGCATCAGCCTGCGGACTGAAAGGTCCGGGGTTCGATTCCGGTCAAGGGCATGTACCTTGGTTGCGGGCACATCCCCGGTGGAGGGTGTGTAAGAGGCAGCTGATCGATGATTCTCTCTCATCGATGTTTCTAACTCTCTATCTTTCTCTCTGTAAAAAAATCAATAAAATAAATTTTTAAAAAATAAAATAAAAATAAAAAACAAAAAAGATCCTTAACTTAGTCACATCTGCAGAGTTCCTTTTGACATGAAAAAGACTCAAGGAATTAAGTCATGGACATCTTTGAGGGGAGGCCATTTTTCTGTCTACCACAGTATGTGATGTTTTTACTTTTGTGCCTATATTTTGTAATATTATATAATGTGTATTCATTACTTAAAATGTATAAGTTAAATGTAGAAAACTGTTATAGGTTAATACCAAGTGACACGAAACACGGCTCTTTGAGAACTTTTATCGGGCTCCCTATGAAGTGTGAGCTTGGTTTTTATTGATACTAAATCAGAACATTCAAGTTCACAAGTATGGGTCGCCAGAAAAGGCAGTCAACGTTCGGTCACTGGGCCATAGACTTTCGTGTGTTGGATTGAACAAGGACCCATCCATTAAGTTGTTTCTTCCATTTTGTGTTGTCCCCGGACACTAGGAGGATGAAATAGCAAACTCAAATTCTGCAAGGAAGAATGTCTCATTAGGAGAGTGGGCCTCACGAAGGGCAGCACCGCCCAAGGCTGTGCTTTGGACACATGTGGCGTTGGGACAGTGATTGACAGGACTCCCCTGGCAGGGACTTCCTGGCAGTCAATGGGAAGGAGCCAAGAATGTCATATGTTCCTTAATGCATGTGACATTCTTCCAAGGACAGATTTTCCGACCTCTTATGTAATTTTCAAATGTCCCCTGAGAAAGTCACATATATGAGAAGCCTATTTGTCATTGTCTGAGCCTAAACCCAATCTCATTCTGCATCTACACTCCGAGTACTTTCTTCTTCTTCTTCTTCTTTTTTTCCCCTGAAATTGAATTTAAAAAAAAAATATGGAATGCTTTCACAAAGCTGCATGTCATTCTAGCACCGGGGCTGCGCTTATCTCCTCTGGATAATTCCAATTTTAGTATATTGCCGCTGAAGCGAGCATAACTCACAGTCTTTTACACACAGTTTTAATATCCTGGAATTTTCCAGGAACGGAACCACTATACAAACTGAGAGGAGTGTGTATTGTTTTGTTTGGCACGCTCCCAAGAACGGTTTCATGGTTTAGAAAATCACACCAGTGACATCAATGCCATTTATGGGCTGTGCTGGCTATCTCCCATTTGCCCTTCGAGATCCACTCCCCTCCTCTCTGTCTGCTCTGTGCCCCTGGGAAGGGTTTCTTTGCCTTCCCGTTTCTGGGTGGGTTCCCTCAGAAAGGGAAGGCAGGAAACGTGGGACGTGAAAGGAGAGGGGTGTATGCCACTTGAAATGACTACCAGGTAATAGGTGTTTTCTGATCCGTGGAAAAAGGAAATTGAATGTGGCAATTTTAGATTCCATTAGGAAATGATAACGTTGTGCATGCGATGGAGTCCCAGCTAGTCAGAAAGCACAAATAATGCGTAGGAAGAAATTCTTTAAACCTCCATGGGCTTAACGGTGGCAAGCTAAAGTTTGGATATCCTTAAAACATTTGTCTTTTTTTTAAAAACTTTATTTTATTTTTTGAAATATATTTTATTGATTTCTTACAAAGAGGAATAGAGAGTTAGAAACATCGATGAGAGAATCATCGATCAGCTGCCTCTTGCACACCCCCCACTGGGGATGTGCCCGCAACCAATGTACTTGCCCTTGACCGGAATTGAACCTGGGACCTTTCAGTCCGCAGGCCAAGGCTCTATCCACTGAGCCAAACCAGTTTTGGCACGTTTGTCATTTTTATTTTATTTTTAAAAAAATATATTTTATTGATTTTTCACAGAGAGGAAGAGAGTTGGAAACATCGATGAGAGAGAATCATTGATCAGCTGCCTCTTGCACACACACACACACACACACACACACACCCCGGGGATGTGCCCGCAACCAAAACCAGAATCGAACCCAGGACTTTTCAGTCCACAGGCTGATGCTCTATCCACTGAGCCAAACCAGTTTCGGCCGTTTGTCATTTTTGTGTGTGTGTGTGCCATCGCTATGAGATTTATTTTGCTTATGTTAGGCTAATATTATTAAAACTCTATGAAGCCCGGCCGGTGTTGCTCAGTGGTTGAGCATCTACCCATGGCCCAGGAGGTTACCGGTTTGATTCCTGGTCAGGGCCCATGCCTGGGTTTCAAGCTCCATCCCTTGTCCCCAGCAGGGGGTGGGTGTGCAGGAGGCAGCCAATTGATGTTACTGTTTCTCCTTGGTGTTTTTGTCTCCCTCTTCCCCTCTCTCTCAAAAACAAAACAAAACAAAAAACCCCAACCCTATGAAAAGATAGACATATTAATCGAAAGGGAACCACCATCTTAGGAAATATATGGAAGACAACACTATTAATACTTTTCTATAGAATCTTCATTTAAAAATAAAACCCTTTCTCGTGTAATATTTCCATTGATACTGAGAAGATAAAGATGAATATATATTGAAAAAAACAAACAAACAACCCTGCTATGGTGTTTGCTCCCTCTGATATACTTCTTCCTTAACTCACATTTATGGCTTCCCGAAAGTTCTCTATGATTGTTCAACAGCAAAACCCAGTTTGCTGTCACTGGGTAAAAATGGATGGCTGCATTGTAGCGCCTGAAAGCAGTGGGGAAGGGAAATATTCCTAGGGGTAAAACTTTGAGCGTTATGTCTTATTGTTCACTTCATGTGGAAGGAGAGATGGCTTATTTTCTCTTGAGGCATAATATTGTTGGGAGATACAATCGGCCAGAGCCCAGAGTGACCCTGATGTTCTTGTTTTGAATGCCAGGAATGCGAGGCCCTGGCCCTCTACCTGGACTTTCATCTCTCAAGGCCATATTTGCAGGGACTTGCCCGGAGAGAGGAGATGCTATCGGACAGAGAGCAGCTTTGCCATCAAAGATGTGAGGTCAGCAGCCCGGGCCAGTGTGGCTCAGTTGGTTAGGCACTGACCCATGCACCGAAAGGTTTTGGGTTCGATACGGTCAGGGCACATGCCTGGCTTTTAGACTCAATCCTGGATAGGGGGTATGCAGGAGGCAGCTGATGGATGTTGCACTCTCACATCAATGTTTCTCTCCCTCTCCCTCTCTAAAAATCAATAATATATATATATGTAAAAAAATATATATGTGTGTATATATATATATATATATATATATATATATATATATATATAGACACACACACACACACACATATGTGTTTTTTTTTTTTCCGAAACCGGTTTGGCTCAGTAGATAGAGCATCAGCCTGCAGACTGAAGGGTCCCAGGTTCGATTCCGGTCAAGCGCATGTACCTTGGTTGAGGGCACATCCCCAGTAGGGGGTGTGCAGGAGGCAGCTGATCGATGCTTCTATCTCATCGATGTTTCTACCTCTATCCCTCTTCCTTCCTCTCTGTAAAAAATCAATAAAAAATATTTTAAAAATATTTTTTTAAAAAGATGTGAATTCTCAAGGCCAGTATTTCTTGGCTGCGATGCAAACTTGCATTGGGTACAAAGTGTGTCCATCTGGGCCCCTCCACATCCTCCCTGTGGGACTTGAGGAAGTGGACATTTTAAGTATGCAGTATCCCCCATGCAAGCATGCTGCTGATGCTCATACTTACTGTGCTGCTGGCTTCCAGGGAATGGAAAGAGGCTACCTTGTTAGCTTGTAAGTAAGAAAAAGTCCCATATACCAACAGATATTTGTTATACACTTTGTAGGTGGTTTTACAAGCCGTTTGGGTATGACTTGACTCATACCTGAGTTTGCATTGAGGGTTGCGACTTGGAATTCTTCCTCTGTAGTTTGGCCCTTATGGAAAAATTTTTGTCATTTTTATGTTCGAATGACTTCTTTTTTTCTTGGTTCAGGCAAAACTCCACTGGCAGAGGTGTCATTGCACATCTGTTGGAAAAAGCAGATAAGTTTTACTGAGTTCATGAAACGATTTGACAAGTTTCATAAGCAGACAATACTAAGGACCAGGGGTGAATGTATTGCCAATATAATAAATCAGAAATTCAAATATTCATTGTCAGGTTTTTTTAATTCACACTATAGATGGAAAACACTACATGGTCATTCTTCATTGTATATAATTCTATTTTGCTTCTTTCTTTCCCATATTAAGTTTTATTTTTAAAATATATTTTTATTGATTTCAGAGAGGAAGGAAGAGGGAGAGAGAAATAGAAATATCCATGATGAGGAAGAATCATGGATCGGCTGCCTCTTGCAAGTCCCCCACTGGGGATAGAGCTCACAGCCCAGTCATGTGCCCTTGACCGGAATCGAACCTGGGCCCTTTCAGTTCACAGGCTGAGGCTCTATCCACTGAGCCAAACTGGCTAGGGCTCCATTTAAAAAAAAAAAAAAAAAAAAAAATATATATATATATATATATATATATATATATATATATATATATATTCTTTTTTTTTTATTGATTTTTCACAGAGAGGAAGAGAGAGGGATAGAGAGTTAGAAACATTGATGAGAGAGAATCATCAATTAGCTGCCTCTTGCACACCCCCCAATGGGGACGTGCCTGCAACCAAGGTACATGCCCTTGACCAGAATCGAACCTGGGACCTTTCAGTCCTCAGGCCGATGCTCTATCCACTGAGCCAAACCGGTCTCGGCAGGGCTCCATATTAAGTTTTGATCTTCTTAGAGCTGTCTTTATGTCCCTCAGTTCTATCGCTAAATAACGGGATTTCGGCATTTGAACTGGAAACCCACAGGCCCGCCTAACTGCTGGGGTAAGAAATCCCAGCAACACCCTCGGCCAGTGCAGCCCAGTTGGTTGGAGCACTGTTCTTTTGACCAAAAGGTGGCAGGTTCGATCCCTGGTCAGGGCACATATGGGAGATAACTGGTCGATGTTTCTCTCTCTATCTCTTCCTCTCTTAAAAAAGAGAGAGAGAGAGAGAGAGAGAGAGAGAGAGAGAGAGAGAGAGAGAGAGAGAGAGAGAGAGAGAGAGAGAAAGGAAGAAAGAAAGAAATTTCAGAAACAGAATAAGATGGTTTTCTTGTTTCTTAAAATGTCCTTGAAAATGTTATGTCTAACCATATAATACTTTTGGGTCTTGTAAGACATCTGGAAATCAGAACTTCTGGCTTGTTCTGTGAACGTAACCTTGGCCTTAAAAGGCCAGTGCTTCTTTCTGTTTGTACTACTTAATAATGTGTTTCCCGGGTAATGGTTATTTAAATTTACATCTCCATGTCCTAAAAGCTATGAATACCCATGAGTTTTAGTAGCGAAGTTAATTGAAAATTTATGTGCACACACAAATTTATGTGCACATGTTTATAGCAGCTCTCTTCATCAAAAACTGGAAACGACCAGATGTCCTTCAGCAGGTGGGTGATAAACTGGTAGATGATTACAATGGGACACTAGTCAGTGAGGGAAATATCTACCGGTTCACTCGACATGAGAGAATCTCTTTTGAGTGGTAAAATATACATCACATAAGCATGGATGAATCTTAAATGCATTTTGTTAAATGAAATCAGCCAGGCTCCAAAGACCCAAAAGTATTGTATGTTTCCGCTCATGTGACATTTTGGAAAAGGCAAAGCCAGAGGGATGTGTATAGCGATAGGAATATGGCTGCTGTAAAAAACGGCCACAAACTTGGTGGCTTACAGCAACACAAACGTATTCTCTTACAGTTGGGAGGCCGGGGTCTAAAGTCAGTCTCACTAGGGTAAAGTTGAGGTGTGGTAGGGCCGGTTCCTTCTGGAGCCTTAGGGGAAAACTTGTTTTTTTGACATTTCTAGCTTCTGGAAGCCTCCTGTATTCCTTATCTGACTCCTTCCTCGTATCATTCCAACCTCTGGCTCCCATTCTCATGACTCCTCCTATCTCCCTTGACTTTTTTTTTTTTCTAAATATATATATTTTATGATTGTTTTACAGAGAAGAAGGGAGAATGATAGAGAGCTAGAAATATCCATCAGCTGCCTCCTGCATA